CCTCCCCAAAATCCGCGACCCCTCCCCAAAACGGGACCGCGCCCCGAAACCGCGACCCCTCCCCAAAATCTGGGACCCCGCCCAAAATCCGGGACCACTCCCCGGAAATCCGCGACGTCTCCCGAAGTCTGGGACCTCCCCCAAATCCGCGACCCCTCCCCAAAATCCGCGACCCTTCCCCGAAATCCCCCCGAAGTCCCGGAATCCCCCCAGGGAACCTTCTCGAACCCCGCCCTCCCCCGTGTCCCCCCAGGTGTCCCCCCAGGTGTCCCCCCAGGTGTCCCCTGACTGTCCCGTGTCCCCCCAGGTGTCCCCTCACATGTCCCGTGTCCCCCCAGGTGTCCCCTGACTGTCCCGTGTCCCCCCAGGTGTCCCCTCACCTGTCCCCGTGTCCCCCCAGGTGTCCCCTCACCTGTCCCCGTGTCCCCCCAGGTGTCCCCTCACCTGTCCCCGTGTCCCCCCAGGTGTCTCTGCTCGCCGCTGCCCCCGCGGGTGCTGAAGGTGGTGGCCGTGGGTGGGGCCGGGTACCACGGGAGCCTCCTCAGGTGTTTCGTGCGGCACCTGGGCACAGCTGGGGCTCACCTGGGCCCCCGCGGGCCCGACTGGCTCAGCCTCCTGCGCTTCCTCATCGTCCCCCTGGGTACCTGGGGACAGCTGGGGACACCTGGGGACAGCTGGGGACACACCTGGGGACAGCTGGGGACAGCTGGGGATGGCTGGAGACAGCTGGGGACACCTGGGGGGCAGCTGGGGACACCTGGGGACAGCTGGGGACACACCTGGGGGGGTGGGGGATGCACCTGGAAACACCTGAGGGGCATGGGGGGGACACACCTGGGCACAGCTGGGGACACCTGGGGACACCTGGAGGGGTGGGGGCACAAACGGGCACAATTCAGGGGTATGGGGGGACACACCTGGGGGTACCTGGGCACACTCAGGGGGTACCTGGGGCACACCTGGACACACCTGGGCACACTCGGGGGGGACCTGGGACACACCTGGACACACCTGGGCACACTCGGGGGGTACCTGGGACACACCTGGGCACACTCAGGGGGTACCTGGGGCACACCTGGACACACCTGGGCACACCTGGCGCTGTCCCCAGGTCCCCACCCCGTGGCGCAGCACCTGGGCACCCTCGATGGCCGCTACAGCGCCGCGTTCCTGGACGGGCCCTGGCGGGAACTGTTCGGGCGCAGCGAGCCCCCCCCCACAGGTACGGGGGGCATTTTGGGG